TCATCTATGTCTAATAAGCGGCGCCGGTGGTGTAGTGGTAAGCGTGATTGCCTCTCATCCCAAAAGGCTTCTGATCAGGGAAGTAAAGCCGTTGGTCCCGGTCCATGAGTTGATGGGTCGATAAGTAGGGTCCAGGTGTGGTGTAGGAGCTGGGAGGCCCTGGCGTCGGTAGCATTAGTACTCATTACGGAAAACAAGATCGACGGAAAACAAAACAAAGAAAAAAATCACTGTCTACTGACCGTCCTAATCTAGCATTCTGCCGTCGTGTCACAATTAGGTATTGCACCGTATGCGGGGAGTATCATTTACGTTCACAAAATATGCCTAGCATCTTAAAATGCTTCATCATTAGAATCTAGTGGAATCGCCAACCAACAGGCGGACTTATTGTGTCTTGCTGTAATAATATCAGTGCCAACATTTCAAAGGGGAGTAATTGCTTTTGTAAACAATGGCTTTAGCTATCGATTTCTCGCAAATAAAAGTCCATCCCTCCAAATTAACAATGCTAGCTGTTAAAGGAAACATTCATCTACCTGCTTGTGTCATTAATCTTCATGCGTAAGTTTTAATTCACGAGAAATCGACGGCTAAAGTCATTGTTTACAAATACAATTACGCCCCTTTGAAATGTTGACACTGATATACATGTTATTCGGAGGCCTTAGGCGGGACCTCAGTCAATAAAGGAAAGGTATTACAAAAGACAAAAAGACATAACACTACGCCTGCTGTTCATCGTGAGTGTTTATACGGTAGGTTTAAATGTTTGTTGGTTGGTAGTGTAGCTACTGGTTGTAGAGTGCAGTGCCAACCAGATTATGGTCAACAAATGATGATGAGAGTGTTTCATGAACGAAGTTTTACATTCAATAATATTCACAGTGATATGTCTGTGTGTATGTCTATTACCAAGGCCCGATCTGGCCTAGAACTTTTTTGGGCATGCACATTTTTTTCGGCTTTCTGGGCATTAGACTGGCCAAACAAAAATAAAAATTCTAATTTTCCACGGACCAACCCCTAAATTTGTTCTTTTCGGTGAGAAAACCATACTCTGATAGTTTCAGCTGGCACTTTTAGTTTGAATTAAGTATAGAGAATTTGGATAAAATTCATGAAAAAATGATACCCTTATCCCTCATTAAAAGGTTTCCTTATTCTCGATTTGATTCAGATTTTTAAAACTTGTGGTTCAAACAATGAGTAACAACTTTGCATCATGAATCCAGTAAGTTTTTTTTTTTTAGATATTCGTATTTGAATGTATATGAGTATTTTGTATATGAACATTTCAACCAAATCCCCTTTAAAACATTAAACTAAATGTATCGTAGACCATTTCAATGACAATAAATACTTAATGTCTATTTTTCATACATTATTGTTGTTGGGTAATTCCCCGTTTTGCACTACGTGCGCACCCGCGAATAGCTAGATCGGATTATGTAGTTTGAAAACTGTGTAACACCGGTGTGATACGATCACTAATTAATAATTTTATTCTATGCACTACGAAACGCATTTATTATTCTAAGTGGACTGTATTTATTCAACGCGATCGAACTGAATCGATACCGGTACCGTCGGTGGTCGGGAGCTAACTGGCTATTCTACTATCTCTATTTGCAAGTGATGCTGCGAGAGCATATCACTGATAGCCTACCGTGCCTATCTCTCGTGTAGGTACATGCAGACGTTCGTGGTCACTCATTTCTCCTGGATTTCCTAATCTACAGTGATGCACACAATTATGTATCCTAATTTCCCTAACAATTGTCACAAGCCAAAAAAAACCTCGGGAGCTTCTTTTGTCCTAGATATATGTACATCCGAATTCTCCCAGGAATCTCTTCTAGCTATCCTATAAATTTTCATCTGATTTTATCGGAAGCTTCTTCCAGAAGTACTTCTGAATTCCACGAAAGCGTCATTTGATTACCGCTGGAAGGTTCATCCAACGTCTTCAGCATGTTTCTTAAAACTTTCATTGGAAGTTTATATTCAATCGTTTCAAACTACCCTAGAATTTGACATCCCCGGAAAATTCATCCGACTTCATTGATTAGTATTTTTGGCTTCGCATATGTTCTTCCTAAAGAACAATCAATCCCATCAAGGTGAGCATTCTCTAAAAAAAAGCCTGGTAGAACTAGGAACTTTAAATAATAATTAAAAATTCAAATGAACTTAAGTTGGAAAGTGTCACTTAAAAATTCATACATGTAAACCACACAAATTTAAGAAATAAAGATCATTTAGCTTGAGCTTGAGCTTGAGCTTGATTGACCGCCCACGGTTGCTACTCTGTTACTGCCAGATCAGCTGTAATTACACAGAGAACCAATAGACGATGCTTGGGACTAGCAATCATCCTCAATGTGTAAAAACTGGTGATCTTAAATTAGGCAATACCAGCGCCGGCCGCGCCCGAACACAGGTCAAGAAAGGAATGGGAAGGATTGTGTTGACATGACACTCGCTTTGATGGAAGCCGAGAACACCTCTGCACTTCCACGAGGAATCACTGGGATGTTGGATAAGAGGGTTGGGTTTGCAGCAGGGTTCGTTTTGGTAAACGATAAGCTGAATTGATGTCCTAACGATCATATAACGCGAAGGAGCTTGGGACTAAACCCACGGTCTTCTGCTCAGTAAGCAAAAACGTTTGCCACTAGGCAGACGAGCACCTTTTTAATCACCGAGTTGCTGTTATTACCATGTAGTCATATTAACAAATAAAACGATTGACGAATCTTGAATGTGGATGGGCCTGAGATTAGACTCATGATGTTCTGCTCAGTAAGCAAAAACGGTTGCCCCTCATATCACATAATACCGTTGCTCAAATTTGTATATCCATTCAAACCCGGAACCAACGACAACAACGAGTTTCGCAAAATACACGATACACAAGCGATTTTACCATAAATCTCTTTGATATGTAAGGACCTGGGACCGCGTTTTTCTGCTCAGTAAGCAGGCCACTGTAACCGACGATCTTTCAAATCCGAAAACTAAAAACTACGAAAAAGTACTTAGGCCTTCATTAAGTTCCACTTCCACGCGACGTTCAATGACAGGGTCCTATCCAGGATTACATCTGAAAAATCAAAATCTGGCCAACGCCCACCCTAAACCTAAACCTGTTCCAATCCACCTGAAATGACTAACGAATGGACGACTTTGACTACCCAGCCATGCAATAGTCTCATTCCGTGCCTTATGGCAACTTGATGATTTTATTGCGCTCATCTTTTGGCACCACCCATGGGAGACTTGGTCCTTTACCCAATGCTTAACTTATCTCCATTCCACTCAGCTACTCGCAATTTCTTGTGATATAGTGGGCGGAATATTATTATATGAGACAATTCAATGCAGACGTCTTTGCAAATTTGGTAGATCGACAGGTAATCGGTGAGTTACCACGATAGTTGCTATTCAACAACTCGACAACGTCCCATCGTCAACGCCTGCTATGAGAATTTCCCATTGCAGACGCCAACGAAATGACGTCATCGAGCTATCGTTCAACTACCCTGGTTATCGCCTGGTACCTTATAGCACGATGCTAGGAGGTGAACCGGAAGAATCGATGAGCTACCTCTCCCCCTCAAGAAATAAAGATCATTTAGAGTAAAAAAGTCCTAAAGTTTTTCCCGGCCTCCCTTTCTTCTGGCTTCCTTCGGAAAATTCTTCTGACTTCTTCAGGAACATTCTTCCAATTTACCTTTAAATCTTCAGTTTCGTCTGAAACTTAATCCAAACTTCCTCTTTTTTTCCCTTGATTTGTTTTCCGTCGATCTTGTTTTCCGTGCTGTGCACCAATGCAGCTCCCACACCTGGACCCTACCTATCGACCCATCTACTCATGGACCGGGGACCAATGGCTTGGCTTTACTTACCTTCCGAAGGAAGGCGTGATCAGAGATGTTATGCCTCAGAACATCCCGGCGGCGCCGACTGGGATTGAACCCAGGACTGCTGTTATGAGAGGTAATCACGCTTACCACTACACCACCGGCGCCGCTAAACTTCCTCTTTGGAGGTTTCTTTTCGCTCCTCTGGTAAATTTCTCGAAACTTTCACCCATCTTTCTTTCATCGGGAAATGTAATTTTTGGTATATTTCCATGATTTTTTTCACTAAATATGTCTACGTTTCGATGCAGTGAGCAGGGCTGTGGAACAAGATACTTTTCTCTAGAGCAAATATTCGAAAAACATTAGACTAGCTCAAAATGTCAAAACTGTTATAAGATTTCTGAATCAGAAAGTAAGGTCTATCACTAGTTCAGTATCTTATCGTTGATATTCCTTCAGCTGGTTTAAAAATGGTCATTGGTTTCTTAAATGACACGAAGTTTTTCTAGTTTATAATAAACATTAAAGATGTTCTTAACAAAATATTTATGAAGTCTATTCGGGTCGATATGATATTTCAACTAAATTCTTCATTAATCAACATTATTATTCATTTCATAAATATAACTGTATCAAATGAAATCACGTTTTGAGCTTGTTTGGTAAAAAAAATATAGCCCTAAGTAGGCAGTACTTCAAAAAATTTAATTCATTCTACGGAAAATAATTGCTTCTTTTCAATCTTTTTTATGTTAAAACTGTTTATTGTTGACCCTTCATAAAGCCTCAAGAAAGCAGAATAGTCTGTAAACCTTTGTTTGCAAGGTCGCTCATATCACCCCGATAGTGTGCTCATTTTACACCAACGGTTTTATTTCGGTTACAAAACGAACATTTATTTAATTTTTTCTTCTTTCATAAGATTCAAACGTTTACTTTTAATATTCAATTTGCGTTTATGATGTAAATGGGGCTGGAAACTATCCATTTGGTTATACATCATTCGAATTTTCCACTGAATTTTGTATGATTAGCGATGATTTTCTTAAGGTGGCCAAACTGCTCTATTTTCCCCTACTAATTTGATTAGATTGGTTTTTTTCGGATTGAGTTAGTATCCCTCAACTGGGAACTTTATCCAATTCTTCAGAAAGTTTTAGAGGATGATTTACCGTTGTGAAGAGAATTTATTTTAAATAAAAAGATAGCAGGCAGATTGGTATCCAGATGCAGCCTTTTTTTTTGACTGTATATTGTGGAATTTTACATGCACATTACATTCGTTCTCTCTTCGCAAATGTTCATTCGACGGATTTCTGGTGCAATTCTTACCTGTTAAGCATTGATCTTTATATGAATGTAGCATTTTACTTCATCAATGTTTCGCAGTTTATTTTAGCAAAATTACAATAAATAATAACCTTAATGCCGAGTTTATGGAAATTGAATACATATACATATATTATTATTTTTATTTGTTAAACTATAATCATCTTTCACTCGTTGGAAATGATTTATTTGACGGTTTTGCAAGACTCCAATGAGATAGGTTGAGATTGCGTCTCAACCAGTGGATGATGGCTGTAACCTGAAATGTTGAAAATGTTAAGAATGTTATGTTTAGATATGATGAATATGAAATTATAATAGTAACACTTAGAGACCAACCAGAAAAAAATAACAGTAACAACTTGAGAGTTACTGAAAATTTTGTCGAATTCAATTTAAATTTACAAAAATTTACTCAGTGGATGAGTAAAATTTCCCTTGATTTTCTTCAAAAATCGGCCAAATATCAGGAAAATCGATGGAAATTTTATTCATTAACTGAGTTACCCAATTTTTTGCAATTTTGAGTTACTCTCATCGGCCGTGAATATTGATCCAATTTTTGAAATCCGACATTGGGATTTTTTATATCGGACAAAATGGATCGAAGGGTTTCAGAATTATATTAAATTTTGCCCACGGGTAGCACTTATGCTTTTAAGAACGAAAAACAAATTCAAAGAAATAGAGTTGGCTAAATTTCCCGGAAAATTTAAATCATTTTTTTTCGATTTTCCCAAACATCACATACATTACAAAGGTGTCTTTGAAAGAAAACCTTATCAAGATAAATCAGTATCACTGAAACACCCATCAAACTAAAGCTTAGGTTCGTCCCATTCATATGAGGCTAGTTTCGAAATATTCTATCAGGGGTCTATAGATCAATTAAGTTTTTTTTTCATATTTTTTAGTGTAAATTACGTCCAAAACATAATTTAATTCCGTTTAAACCCAACAAATGTATGGAAAAGTGATCCCCGATAATGTTTTGTTTAAACTAGTCTTAAAGATAGAAAAGCACCTAAGATTTCGTTTGGTAAGTGTTTCAGGTTTTATAATAATATTGTTCTACCAGATACACCATGACTTATTTTAGAAATCCATAATTCATTAATGAAATATAAAATAAACAATATTATAGGATGCAAACTAAATTTCCATTTTAAAATTCAATTTTTTTTTTTATTAAAAAGACTTTCAGCCATCCGCTGGTTTATCTCTGTTATTCAAGGTTTAATCCCTGTTTTATAAATCATGGAATAGAAAACCATTGAATTTAATCATGATAATTTTTAATGCTTCTATCAAATTCAAAAGGATCTTATTTAAGCACAATTTTGATCACAACATGATTATAAAATCAAACATGTTTTAATTTTTTTTAAAACAAGTCACTGAAATATATCGAACCTTTTTAAATTTTAAAGAGCATATTAACCGATTTTGGGAGGATCAATTATTATTATCAAGCTTAAAGATAGTTAAACAAGCATGGTGTAGATACGACTCGTAAAATCGTGATGTCCTCCGTCGATAGTTGGTGGTCCTCTGTGAAGATGTGTTCCGCAACCTTTGATTTAAAATCATATGTTAAGCCTTTTTGCTCTTGCTTTTTGGCCGTATTAACCTCCGCTATATGTTCTTTAAATCTAGTTGCTAAAGTTCTCTTTATTTGTCCTACGTATACTTTGTTACAATGATTACATTTTATTTTATATACACTTGCTTTTGTGGCATCTTCCCTGGTTTTAATGTTTTTGGGGGCCCAACTCGCATCAAGCGAGTCAGCCCCAGATGAAACTTCACCGATAACTTATCGGTACGTGGATGTGATATCTTTGTACACTGGACACAACCGATGTTGGAGTTAGAATGTGCTGTCTTTATTTCTATGTATAGTAACCAGCTACCTGACTTGAAACATGCTGACGAGAAGTCATTTTTAGTTGAACAATTTATGGTGGCAATCGTTCCCATACTTGCTGGTTATGCCAAAATGCTGACTTAAGCAGACACTGAAGTAGCGTTGCTTAATGTTAAATTTTGATGGAAGCATGTAGGTACACTACACTTTACCTAAGACATTAGCTGGGCCTTTAGTGAATCCTAACAATGATTTCAACTGGCTATGTCCAACAATCAATACGAAACTAACGATTTTAAATTGGCTCACTACTTGACTAGCCTATTGGTCCCAAGCAAATCGATTAACGTACCCCATTCTAGTCAAAATTCTAGTACTACACAATGTTTGTTTTGATTCGCTATGAAAATTTGACAGATAAAATGAGGGGTTATTGGATTTTCCTATGTTTCGAGGGGTGAATCGATTAGCTTGGGACCGAAGATAGTACCAGAGCTGAGCCAAAAAGATGAGCACATTTCTTCGGAACCTACTAGTCTTAGAGTTACCTCTATGCTATGTCTACTTGTGAAAACTAAATCTAATCCGAATTGTTTTAACTGTGGTCTTAGCTTACAAGTAATATCTTGATCAAATGGAACGGACACTCGTTTCAAGGGTTCAGGTGCTGCGGTGGGGGTTGTTAATAATCTCCTTTGTAGAATTCTCGCTTTTTTATCAATGATTGCCTGGATTGTGGTTTCCTTGTATCCGTTGAGTCTTGCTGTTTCGAAGATGTACTGTAATTCCTTAACCTTTCCTGTATCACTGAGTGGAAGAGTCTGCATCCGATGAATCGTGTGGTGGAAGGCGGCCATTTTCTGTTGGAACGAATGGTTGGAACTATAGGGGATAACTCTTTTTGTGCTTGTTGGTTTCGTGTAAATTTCGTATTCAAGCGAAGAAGATGATGCCGATTCCCTGATGCCTAGAATATCAAGAAATGCGAGGGGGGCGGCACATCTAAATCTCAATTCTAGATGCTCAAAAAATCTCACACTAGCGAATAAATCTTCGAAAAATCATCATCCCCCTCGAAGAAATGCGAGTTTCCCGTCTTTTTCTACCTCGTGAGTGAATTTAATATCCTTGTGAATTATGTTGATCTCATCTAAAATTTGAGGAACGGCTCACCGTTTAACTACGCTGAAGACATCGTCAACACACCTCCACCAACGGTTTGATAATAGTCCTTTCTCCTTTACGATTGTCTCCAAGTTGGCCATGAAAAGTTTACACAGGAAGGGGGATAGGGGGTTTCCCATTGGGGCTCCTTTTGTCTGCTTGTAGAAGTTACCTCGGAAAGAGATGCAGTTCTCTTCCATACAATGGGGGGTCAGCTTAAGGTACGTCCGAACCTTGTTTCTCTATGCTGCATCCTCTCGTTGTGTTAATAGCCAGTCCTCCAAATGGTTGATCGCTTCTTCGACCGGTACGCTGGGAAAAAGAGCTGTGACGTCGAAAGATACCATAATCTCGCCTTCGTTGATGTCTCCTGAAGATTGTAGTTGCTGGGCGAACTCCTGGGTGTTACTAACTGCTTTATTCTGGAACTGATTCAGCATACTCTGGAACTCTGTGACTAGCTACTTCGCTAGTTTGTGGGTGGGAGAACCAACTGCATACACATCTCTAGCATTTCATTCCTCAGTTTCTGGACTTTGGGGAGACCTTTGATCCTGGGTAGAATAGGATTAGATTCCAGTGCTTTCTGCTTTCCTCGAGATCAACAAACAACGGAATTCAACTTTACTCATCAGGGATCAAGGAAACGGACACACATGGCTTTTCAAGTGACTACCTAGGACACATCAACGAGTAAACAGCGGAGTATCTGCTCCCAGGCATGGAAAATCATTTGCATTCATTTCGTGCATTCATTTACATTCATTTGCCCCTAACTTTTTCTGTATGTATGTATGTAAGTAGCCACCATCCTAGCTTGGGTCTTGCCCTGCATGCGGCTCCACTCAACAGCAAGATCAAATTCCATCATCATTCTGAATTCAACATACTGCTGTATGAAGGGCCCAAGGGTTGGACGGGCCCGTAAGCAGAGGCACTTACGCGAAACCCGCGGGAATAAGAGAATCTCCTTCCAACAATATGATTCAACAAAATGAATAACGAAATTCGCAATACATGTTAAGCTTTCCACGGGATGGTTTGTTTAAGAAGAGCGCGTCAAATTCATTGCAACTGTTGGAGTGAAATGTAACTATCTAAAGTGACAGTACACATTCCCTCCTAGACTCCGGTTGGCACTCCACTCCATTGTCCAGTTACAACTTCAATGATGCCCTGATGCTCCCTCCCGTCCCAGTATGTATTGTAATTTACATTATGAATTTATATATAATCATATGATATATAATGTATTAAAAATATGTAGTAAAATGAAAAATATAATAAAAAATAAAGATGTTTTACAAAATAAAAATAACCTCGATTGTTGGGTCCTATACACACACTTTTTGTTTTATGTGCCATGAAATGACATAATTCATCATTGTATGTTTTGAAAATATAATACTAAAGTATTGAATCAATAGACCGAAAATCGAGGTTATTTGGACATGAGACATTATATTTAAAAGGATACTACCAAACCGACCATCAAACGCACTGCCCAAAAAAGCAGACACGTCCCCTCGAAAATGCAATCGAGAAATGTACAAGAACAATCCTCAACTGGAACGTACTCACCAAATCAATATATCCGGGAGCGCATTCCCGATGTCGTCGAACGGCAAAAAAAAGGAACTCGGTGAGCAAATTTGTGATAGGGAATTTTCACTGAATTTTCACTGAAAACAACCACGAATTTCACCACACCCAACTGCGAAACACGTTCAGAAGCACTATTGGTACACTTTCGATATCAATTACTTTTGAAAAAACTTTTTTTTTTTTTTTTGCAAATCGTTGATCGTTCTACGTGAAGAAGTAATATTAAAAACATATAGTCAAAGTATTTTTTTTTTTTTTGCAAAAATAGTTGCAACTGTACCAACATCAACACTGATCGTGCCAACTCTTTCACGCACCTTGCAGGGCGTACATAAACTGAAATTAAAATTTTCACTCGCGATGCCACAAATTTCTGGTCCGGGAGAAACAATCAAACCATGCAGCGCCAAATCTTCTGATGCTTGCAATTTTGCAAACATGATGAATCATGTTTCTTTCTCGATTCTAAAACTTCTCGGAAAGCGAGAAAACAACCACTCACACACGTATAACCGTCCGGGAGGCAGAGTGCCAGCGCTAATCCGGCAAATGCAGCCGAAAACTATGAAAGCGAACGCACGCACAAAACAGAGAACAAACACAACCTTATCCAAAAGGGTTCC